CATTGACACGAGCAAGTTGCCCAAAACAGAACACGTGAAGCAGTTGTTTGCCACCTTCGAATCTTACAGTCCAGAGTGTCGGCAACACAGAATTGGGAAAAGCTGCGAAACACCATGTATTACACAGCCCTCGCCACTTTTGGGAAGAAAAACTCTAAATTTCATGACTGGTTTGGAGCAAAATCCTTTCAGAGTACACCCATCATTGCAGCCAAACGCACCGCTCACACTGAGTACAAGACTCATCACGAAAAGTACCTTCAGATTCAAGGAGCAATGTTCAACAGACGGCTCGACACGATCCAGCTCAATGAAGCCATCGAGACTGCTCTCATCCCAAGGAAGATCAGAGGAATGTACGATGGCATCAAGAGGGCACTTGGAGCAGTCCAGACTAAGTCAGCTTTCCTCAAATCTTCGCCTGGGGAAGTAATCACTGACAAGAGCCAACAGATGGAGAGATGATTGGAACATCATTCTGACCCAACCAAAAAAATTCAAAATTATTTCAAAACTGTATAATTTATAAGTTAGTGATATAAAATAATTTAAAATGATAATTAATTAAAAAATACTACGTATATAAATATTAAATAGTCCAAGTTTGTTTTATACTTACTGTTGGCAGAAGCCTATTAAAAAAAGCCAGACAGTTTGTAAAAAGAATTGTTACATTTGTTTGTAAATATTTCTTTGTTTAGAATTTGCTCTAAAAAAGGACCACCAGAAATAACTCTCATGGCTGACTGATGGAAATATATTTTTTCAAATTTAAAAAAAAAATATATATATATAACCCCCTTTTATTTATTTTTTTTATTTTTTGTCCAATGAAAAGGATGGCTTCTGCTCTCATAAATTTAAAGTTGAAACCCGTTTGATTCTCTTTCGAGAGTATGTAAGAACTCTGGTCATCAGATTAAAGGTAGAAGGAATTTAAACGTCAGATGCCGAAGGAAGAGAGCTAACTGCGTGGAAACAAAGAACGGAAGGATTTGTGGCATTCACATGTGAATATTGCTAGCCACTGTGTGAGAAATTCTGCAATTTAAGCTCCTATTGGCTAATTTATACCACACAGTATTTTGTACCGACCAATCTCATTGGTTGAATTTGACTTTGTTTTTCGCGGGCATTTTTCAACGGCCCGTGCCCTTTTTTGGCAGTTGTTGCAAATCTTGGAAATGTCAGGACTCATATTTGAATCTCTTTGCAGGGCCTTTAGCGCCCAAAATTAAGCCTAAATAACTAGGCAATGATTCCAAAATGGTAATGCTCCTGCGACGACGTCATGTTCCAGCTTCTCCAATACTTTCAAGGCGGTATAATTCAGTCAGTTTATTGTTTGTTGTCTGATGTGTACTTTCAACACGAAGAACTTTCTGTATTATCTCGACAATAGCCGAGTTTCAACTTCAGCAACCGAAATGGTAATGCTCCTGCAACGACCAGCAAGTTCCTGCTTCTCCAACTACGTAGAGACCAATTGAGTCCTACATAAGAGAAAATCACTACCTCTTCTTTGAAGAAACTACCCCACCCTGTTCACAGGGGCAAAAAGGGCATAATCTTTTTTTGCAAAGATGCAATAAAATTAGTTTTAAATTTTAAGGTAGGCTTTGTTTATTGTATGTCTTTTCTTGTCTCTGCCAAGGGTTAAACTGTGCGTGAAGAAATTCTCACAACTGCGAGGAAAGCAAAAGGCTAAAAGGTATCGGTATTTCTCCAGGACTACGACAACGAAAAGAAAGAACAAATAACTACTTATGATCCGACCACGAAAAAGAATCTCAAAGAATGCAAAAAGACATTTTTAAAAAAATATCGTTAAAGGCCCGGATGAAGCATGTAGCTAGCAAAGCAGGAAGAAAACCGAAAGATATTTCAAAGCATCGTTAAATGCCCCAAAGTCAAAGTAGGATTTTCGTCTCTCTATTTAGGTGGGTGCTCTTTTTCTAAAGAGTAATTTCTTCCTTTTTTTTCAACAGTCTTCGTAATCACCTTCAAGTTTTTTTCATGATCTGAAAAATTATATTGTAAATATTTATTAGGGTCAATAATTTCTATAATTTTGTTACGTTTTCTTGTCTTATTTCCAATAATAAGGAAATTTTTGTGCAAGCTTTTTGCAAAATCGTATTTTTTTATATTGCTTCATGTAAATGTAATAAATGTTTGTAACTTTCGTAGTTGGTTTGAGCTTTGTTTATTATATGTGACATTTTTAATATCCGAGGCAAGAGAGGTGATTTATTCTCTCTTTATCCATTCCCTCCCAAGAAAAATTTATCTTATTTATTCTAATTAAAATTTTAAAAAAAAGAAACTAATTCTTTGTAAAAATTCATTATTCATCGAAACATTTATCTTAACAACAGAGTCCATGAAAGACAATTATTTTTTCTAATTAAAAAAATGCCTCAGTTTTACTTTTATTGGATTTTTTTTTTTCGATTCCAAGTAGTTTTTCTGCGACTAAGGTCTTGTTTGATCATAATAGTTTGTTGGTCTAGATTCTCCGAGAACTTCTCCTTTTAACAAATACAAACATAAGGAATACAAAAAAGAATTTCTCGATATTTCATAAAAATTATATGAATGTGGATGGGGGTAAAAGATACATATACAAAATATTTTTGCAAGGATTTTCTATAAAAGAAACGTTTTAAACTAAAATGATTCATTTCTGAATAAGTCCAGAAAATTTCATTAAAATCTAAAGATAATATACTTAAAAGGTGAATATTAAATTAATTGAAAATAATACAATATAATAAGTTTATTACTCTTTCTCTTGAAGGAAGAATATAAAATTTACATAAAAATATAAATTAAATAAATGATTAATAAAAAAAAATGAAGACAAAAAGTAATAGATATTATATTAGTCTAGATTCGTTTATTACACTTGTTTTTAAGAGAAATTAAAAAACAATTAAAAGAAGTCCACGCGGTTAATACAAAGGTTAACTAATTAATTTGATGCGAAACATTTTCAATTTTCCAAAAATAGAATGGCTCGAAAAAGAACGGTGAAAAATATGTCGGCTAAAGACGGATAGTTTGTGATTTAATTTTCAAATCTCAAAAGGATATACACCTTTGGATTTTTTGACCAATCAGGAGATTGACTTCCACTCACGCAAATTTAAAATTTGAGATTGTATCTGGAGCCTATTGGAGGGTATATAAAAAGTCGAGTAGAGCAGAAAGTTTCCCAAGATACTAAAGGGTTACAAGAAAACAATAGGTATAAGGTTCCAGAAGGATACGAAAAAAGTGAGAAGGACAAGGAATTTTGGCTATCACCAACGAATGAACTAGGCTTTTTCGTATCGGTGATGTACAAGGTAACCCTAAAAATCATTGCCGTTTTTAATTTCTTAGAAAAAAAATATACAGTAAATTTGACATACCGTAAAATCTCAAAGCAATCCCCATCGGCATCCAGAACCTTTTGCCAACGTGCCTCCAACTGCATAATGGTCTGATAGTGTCTTGGAAACAAAGAAATCTGTTAGTGCCTGCCGCAAGTCTGTCTCATTTGTGAAGGATTTTCCACGAGGGTGGTTGTCCAGGGAATAGAAGAAGTAGTAATCTGTTAGCGCAAGGCCCGGGTAGTAAGGTGGATGGTACATTGTCTCCCAGACAAGTTGCCGTATAGTATTCCTGGCCACATGCACAATTAATGAATTCTAGCTCCTTCCAACTGGCTGCAAGTACAGGTCCACAGTGATGGTTTGACCCATGGGTAGAAACTAATTGTACACTAGTTCACCAGATACAGAACATAATCTTGCATTTGGTGTAGTGATGATCTTGTGGGTATGTGGCACAGGGTCCTGCAGTGACAACCGAAGTCTGGCACGCTATGAAGTGTCATACAGGACACACTTTTCGTCACTGGTCTTTTTGGTTCCTTATAAGAAGCAAACGAAGAAAGTAGCAGAAGCCAAAAAGAAACCAAATAATAATAATAATTGATAATCGAACAGCGAAAAAAAAAAGAAAAGAACAAATTTGTTAAGTGACCAGTGACTCAGTTTTGACTTTAATTAAATAATATTTTGTAACAATGTGTGTTTTGAACCTTTTGAAGGAATTGTATTGCATCTTCGCAAGATTTTTTTTAATTATTGAAAGTTTTTTTTAATCATTTATCTGTAAATATTAGCCATATTTCTATTTTGTATTGGGCATCCTGCACACAAAGAAATGTTTTATGCCAGCGTATTTGTAAAACTTGTATTGTTCTGTTCAATTTTAAGTCATGTTTGTTTCTTTCAAATTTCACATTTCGAGTTATTCAATATTCTGGATAAGAGGTTTTCTCTTCCCTTACTCCCCCAACTTTTTTGCAAGTTAATGTTTTTTCCCCGAAAATTTACCGTACCAATTTCAGGTCACACGAAAAAAAACAGTAAAGATTTTTAACCAAAATTTCCAATGTTCTAAAAAAAAAAACGGATTAAAAAAAATTGTATAAAATTCATTTGATACTTTTCTCTTAAGAAATACACAAAGATTTTGACCATTCAATTTTGTTTTTATTCTTTTTTGTTCATTTCTTCATGTATCCTCATTATTTAGTGAATTTTTTGATGTGCCTGTTGCGCTATACCCGTTCAACCACATGTCCTTTCGTGTCGCCATCTAAGAAGGATATTGAACCTTGCTCTCCCACGTAGTGTATTAGCAAGCTTCTCTTGCGAAATCAGTTACGGCTGAGTGAGTTCGATTATCCCTACGTATCCCATACCACACGATCTTCTGTATCGAACCTTTCTCTCGTTGTGGGGCAATTTTGACATTGCATCGGAATGTATATTTCGTAAGTAAATTAATATTCCACTGATCCATAAATATGAATTCACGTTTGGTATCTTTTTATATTTAAAAAATTATATTTGAAAATCCCATTTTCTAGTTGTTTAGTTTAATAATATGCGCTTCATATAAACAAGGGACTACTTTCATATAACACCGTTTATGTTGTAAACATGGAGAAACCGAAAAGTGTTCGTGCTGATTTGTGGAGGGTGAATTGCTAAACGTTTACTTAAAATTTTTGCAATTCAAAATATTTTTGCTCTTGATTACTTTATCGAATTATTTAACTTTTTTCTATAAGGATTATTATTTTTAAAAAATATTAAGTGTTAACTCCAGACGGTTTTTCTTTTTGTTGATAATGAGTAGGACATTTTTTTTATTTGTACTTCTTATTTTACTCGGCCTTAAAAATGTTTTTAAATTTTCTTTATTTATCTCTCTAAAAGGTATTTAATTTAGTTTTGTGACATTTCGCGACACTTGTTTAGTATTCTTCAAATAGTCTATATTGTCTGGATGCATTCTTCAGCTGAGTGGTTCTCATTAAATGTCTTTCGCCATTATACTTTTTTAAAACTTTTTTACATCGATTGTTGATTATAATTTGTTTGAATGAATAAATAGTCCTAAACATGATTAAATCTCTAAAGAAGACTTTTTCAGCTAAGTGGTGATTACCTTTTTTTTTTTTAAATATGTAGGTACAATTAACAATAACATCACACTTAAGTGTTTTTTGGGGTTTGTTTTTTGTGTGTGTGTGTTTTAAGAGTTTATTCTTTGATTGAAAGTATTAATAATCCATTAGGACTCAGGTGTCCCCCATTTGATAAACATTGAGTAGAGCCAGTAATTTTCAGACTATTTTGAACCTTATTCTTTGTGGGCAATCATGGCTATCCCCTGTAGTTTGTAGCATTTGTTTTTTGACATCCCAATCCGTGTTTCATTATCCATTTATTTTAATTTTTACACAAGCAGAAGCTGGTCAGGTAGGTGGCCCACTGCCTCCGGCTATCTCTTTTACCTTCGATATGTCCCGTGTATGTCAAATTCTCCAAGCTCACCTTCCTAATGCGCCCAAGAAATTTCAGCTGTCGACTTCTGGTTCTGAATACTTTTTTTTAACCTTTCCTTCAGATTTCCACATTTCTTATGCTTTTAGTTTTCGACTTTTGAGTTTTCTCTTGATCTGCGAAGATGTAGCGGTATTGACGGTCTAAATCAACACGTACATTTTTTTTTCTTTTCTTTTCTTTTACGAATGTGTAACTAAACAAAAAGCAACAAGCGAAAGGACACAAAAAATAACTTTTTATAACAAGAACAATGTGCGTGTCAAATGATACAGGAATAATTAATAATAGGAGTTACTTCCCTTTGACTGGAATTAAAATCTTTACTGATGAATATTTTTTTTTATCTGAGCTCATAAAAAGTTGAATGAACTCAAAATGTTCACTGTCAGAGAGTTGAAAGAATTCTGTAAAGCTGAAAATATGTTAATAAACTCTTAGCTTCAGAAAAGTTGAAGACATGAATGTTCCGTAATGTTTAATTAGTTACGTTGGTTGTAGTTGAATATTCGTAATTAAGTTTCCGTAAGATTCAATAGCGTGATTGAATAATAGTTTTTTTTTTAGTTAGTAAGTTCCAGAAGTTGGTGAGTGAGTGTTTTAGTTGAATGTTTTAACTTGAATTACAATTAAGTTATTTCATGTGTTGAAGAACTTAAAATTCTAAATTTGTACTTCACTGCAGTAATAATGATACAAGCGTCGTGAACTAATTTTTTAGCAAAGTCGTTTGTAAATTCTCACGATATTTATTATATAAAAATACATAATTATGGCACAAGGCTGAAAAGGGGGAGGTGTTGAGGCTGGTCATCACTAACTACCTAGCTAATCCGACTCACGACCCATTCACTCATTACAATTTTCGCATTCACCATAAAAAACTCGTCCGTTGCTAATCAATCCTCCATACACCATAATACCACATCCTCTCCGGGGATCTACAAAAAAAAAACGCACCCCCCATGATATAAAAAATTTAATGATAAGAAAATACATATATACAATTTATGGATGATTAAATATCAGAGGGGATCAGGACGAACCCAATTATCAAACTAAATATCTGTGAGAATTTCTTCTCACACAGTTCAACCCTTGGCAGAGACAAGAAAGACATACAATCAACAAGGCCTACCTTAAAACTTAAAACAAATTTTATTGTATCCTTGCAAAAAAAGATTTTGCCCCTGGGAACAGGGTGGGGTAGTTCGTCAATGAATTGGTAGTGTCTTTTACTTCAGTAGGACTCATTTGGTCTCTACGAAGTTGGAGAAGCTGGAACCTGCTGATCGTTGCTGGAGCATTTCGGTTGCTGATGTTGAAACTTGGCTATTGTCGAGATCATGCAGGAAGTTCTTCGTGTAAACGTACACATTTGACGACAGTCAATAAATGACTGAATTATACAGCCTTGAATTATTATGCTGGTACATGACGTCGTCTCAGGAGCATTACCATTTTGGTTGCTGAAGAACAATCATTGCCTAATTATTTAGGCTTGGGCACTAAAGGCCCTGAAGCTTTACCATTTTGGTTAAGATATTCCGGCCCGCATAAGGGTTAAGGGCACGGAATAAATGAGTCAACCTTCTAGTTTGAATATCTGGCGGCGTGAGCACGGGCCATTGAAAAATGCCAGTGAAAAAACAAAGTCAAATTCGACCAATGAGATTGGTTGTTACAAAATTAGACAATAGGAGCTTAAATTGCAGAATTTCTCACATATCAACACAAAGTAAATTAAACATAACTGATGTTAGTAGGGCCCGTCCAACCCTCAAAAAGGAGAGGCCGCTGTATTCTGCCCATTGGACAAAATCAGGAGGCTCTCTCACTAAGGAAGTGGGAAAGGATAAAATATACAAACGAACATGGGAAATATAAAAGCTGACCCAGTCAAGATGAAAAGTGAGGGACCAAATTAAACTGGGGAGGTTGGGAATCTCAACTTGGATCATAACCAAAGATGCAGCCAGGAGCAGGCCAGGAACAACACTTACATTAACTACGTATACAAAGCTTGTCTAACCTAACCAAGGGGAAGGGCTCCACAGGAAACCACCCCGCACTGCAAGGTTCACTCATACTTTCTATTTATATGTTTTTTAGTCATGTGACAGGCTCTGAAAAGCGTTTCTGATTTTTGGCGGAAAATGTAATTTCATCGTCAGGAACTAGGTCAATATTATTCAGACGTAGTTGAGAACATGAATTTGATATTAACTGACCAATGAGAAGTTATAAAAATATCAAGGCTCTGTGATATACGATTTGCACAGAATTGCACAAAAATTGACATTGATAAAAAAAAGTGGTAACAGAATACTAAAAAGAAATTTCCTACCATATTGTTCCACACAGGAAGATTGATATTGCATATTTCTTTGTTTCTAACAAAACTTTTTTTGTTTTTTAACACTTTATTTTGCAATGAGAATTCCAATTTCAGTATCACATTCTCCATTTTCTATTAAGAAAACACTCTCCAGACATTTCAACTTATGTACTTGTTTGATTTTGATATCTCCAATTCTTAGTTTGCATCTTGGGCTTTTATTCTTCTGTTTTTACAATTGATACTTAGTCCTTTGTGTAAAAATTACAATTTCATTACAGAGATTCAAGAAACTTGAAGAAAGAACAAATGAGTTAACAGAAAAGACCAAAATTAAATTAGAAAAAAGCAATAAGAAAAAAAGTAAGTTAATATTCTGATACTTCATATATACATTTTACATGTCAGATAATTTATTATATACATATTAAAAGTTGTTTTTCTTTCTTAAGACAAAAATGACAGTGACAACGTGGCACAGTACACAGAAAAATCTCCTGCGATACAAAATGAAGAAAAAAGGAAGAAAGAGGATCCAAGTACCCAAAGGTATTTTTTGTAGGACTGTTTTTTTTGGGTTTTTTTTTTTAATTCCATGCACCTTTACAGTACAAGCAATCATGACTTTCCACAGCTTCCTTTTCTTATCTGTGAATTGCCATGCATTTTTATAGTAAGATAGTTGAGTAGTTTCCTATTACATTTATCTCAGTTTGGAATTCAGAGTTTTCCTTCTCTTAGACTGGTTGCCACTCAAGACTATAAAGTCCAGTTTACTCTGCTTGGGTAAGAAGAGACAGATTTGTACCTTTCTCACGGGCATTTGTGTAAAAATGAATACAACAAACTTGGCTGGAATTTGAACTCACTTGTTACTCTTTTTGTGCCAATATCCATTATATCATCCCTACATCCTATATAACTATATACAATTATATTTTATCAAGTTTCATTTCACAAATATCTGTTATTTAAACTCTTGCGAGTGTTATATAGATGTTGTTCTATGAGAGTAGTTTTTACTTGTGGACATGATTGGTAGTGTAGTTACCTGAAGCAAATCTGTCAAATATGTCTTAACATAAATTCAAATCTAATAAGCAATTAGAGTTTATAAAAAGCGTGTTTTGAGCTGAAATATTTTATTTCAGATTTCAAATGGCAACATCCAGATAAGTTATTAAAGTTTGAAAGGAAGTTCCTTTCTTCAATTCATTGACCAATTAAAATACTTTATTTTAAGACTAAAAAACAGTTTCTATTAATCCCTATATAAAGAACAATATCCACCAGTTTAATCAGAGTTTAGCTCATTAATCTCTCTGACACCATTACACATGACGCCCCATATATATATATATATATATATATATATATATATATATATTCTTATGACCCTTCCATTCTCCAACCCTATTGATAGCGGAGGTAGAGGAGGATTGTAATCTGTGTTATTTCTTTTTTTTTTTTAACATTTACTCAATTTTTGTAAAATATATTTCTTTCCCAAAGGTCTCTTTCCGATTGATCAGACACAGCCGAGCAGAATCGATTAAGGAACAAACACGATAGGCAACAAACAACAATGGAGACAAGGAATATAAATTTATTAACAAACATAAAAACATGGGGAAGATAAAAAAAAAACAGCCAAGACAAAAATGACAATGTGTCAAGAATAAACATTTAAACATTGTGGGCAAAATAGTGGGAGGGGAACATCGTTTTTGGGACGTAAAACACAAATCAAAGTATGGCCTTGGGCCATACTTGCACAAATTTACAGAACATGTGCCATACTTGCATGAATTTACAAAACATCAAAATTTTAAGATAGGTGAAAAGAAACATGTCATAAAAGGAATCTCATGCTAAACTTGCATGAAAGTACAAACATGAAAAAGAAGTACATTTAAACAAAAATGAAGCACAAGAAAAACAACGGACTTATCTCATAATAAAAGTTCTTTTCCACTAATGTCTCTTATGTCTACTGCTTTTTTTCTTTTTCCTTTTCTATTTCTTTTTATAAGCATCTCCTTTTGAGGTTTTTTCTTACTTCCTCTCTTTCTTTTTTGGTCCTGTGTAGGGGCTTGGCTGACAATTAAGTTGAAACTGCTTTCTTCTTTCTTTCATCTCAGTGTAGCAGCATTCTTGTTTAAGGTGGTCTTTTCTTACTTTCTTTCTTTTCCCTTTCGTCTCTAGTTTAGAGGCTTAGGTGACGATTAAATTGAAACGGCTTTCTTTCTTTCTCTCTCCTTCATCTCGGTGTGGTATCATTCTCCTTTGAGATCTTTTCTTCCTTTCTTTCCTTTTCCCATAAGTATCTCTTTTTGAGATCTATTCTTCCTTTCTTCTTTTCTTTTTCTATAAGCGACTGGTCTCGGGACTTGGGTGACAGATAAATCAAAGCTGTCTTCTATCTTTCTTTTGTCCCGATGTAGCGACATTCCGCATACGTCATAGTTTATTTCTCAAAATTCAACGTTTCTTTCACGTTCCACATGCTTGTGTTCAGTCGTCTGTTCAAAGTTTGAAGAGGGACTTTTCTTTTTCTGCATAGCCAACCAAAATTTTTGCTTTCATAGTAAACGGGTCCATCTATTCCATTTGAAGATGAATTCTCTTTTTCATATTTTTGCGAACACGTTCGTTCGGCCCTTAGGCCTGAAGAAAACACTTGTATTTTTCGAAAACGCCATACATAGAATTATAAAAGACAGAAATAATATGTCCATTTTACCATTAAATACAATTTATCTCATTTAGGAATGGAAGAACAAGCAGGATTATAAAATGAATTAATTGGTGGTCAGGATATGTTCAGGTTTTGATTAATACTGCATTGAGATGAAGCCATCAACATTTCTGGTTTTGGTTCCTGCTTAAAAAAAACGGATTTTGTGGTGTCAGGTTAAGCAGCAGAATTGGAATGTACTTAGTGACATTAAACATGTAAATAAATGAGAGAAGGAGCCAAGAAGTAATAACAATAATAATGAAAGGTTTATTAATATTTGATTTACCATATACAAAAATGTATGTTGAATGTTTTGCTGCTTGAAGTAGTGAATATTGTATTAGCACATTGTTGTGGGTAAGTAGTTGATGCATAATATGCATGTAAATAGTTGATGTATTATGTAAGGAAATAATAACCCTAGCTAATTGTCTCTGCTTTTTAAACCTGGTGTGCCATCATATTTATGAGTAAAATGGGGCTCAAGTAGTCTCAAAATAGATTTCTGGTAAATAACCTATTAATCATGGTTAAATCTTTTATAGCTGAATTGTAGAACCACAAATGATAGACATTCTTGTAAATTGCAGTTAATAGATTAAATCTTGATTGGCTGCAATATATTTGATGCATTTTCTGTCAATTGTTATTACCAATTGCAACTTGCTTTTTCAATTTGGTCAGTTTCATGCTTCAGTGTGATCTTCAGACCAAAAATTTGAAGAAAAAAATTCATTAGAATAAAAATCATTCTATTTATTCTATAGAAAAAAATGATATCCCAAATGTTTTTTTGTTTTTTTTTTATGAAAATAATTGTATTCTGAAAGGTTTTATCTCTTATCTGTTTGAAATATAATACCTTGCAAAATTGACTATCCTATTTTTTTTAAAAATTCACCTAATTTTAGGACAATTAAGTTTATTTTGTACTGTTTAAATTCTTTTTTTCTTTCAGGATACATGAAATCAATGTTCATTTATCTCATTCTGACGCAAATAGAATGTCATATAACAATTAGAAATAATATTGTTGAATCAAGCTAGAGACTAAATTCTTTTCAGTTAGAAAATTGTTTTTTTTTTAATTTGGACATATACTGATTGGCAAACTGTTATAAATCAATTTCTAGGTTATATTACCCTGTAATAAATATTTATTGTATTTTTAATTTGATCTTTCATCAAAAATAATTAGTTCTATGACAAGTATAAAGATAAAAGTTAACAAATTCATAAATTTAAAAATATACTAAAAAGCTCTTAAAATGTCAATTAAGTAGACTATTTTATTAATTTTATAAGAGTTGCAATAGTTCAGTTACTAGTGAAGAAATCAATATCTTGATTATATCATTATTTTCCCTTCTAGTTGTACATTTTGTTATTCTCATTTCCTAACTTAAAACTGATAATTTTGCTAATTAATCAGTTTAGTTAATATTTTGCAACATATTTGAACTTTCTGAATTTAGATGGTAAACACTTGGAGATGAATTTATTTTATACAAAAATTTATATTATAGTTCCTTTAATATATCAATTAATCAATAGTTATTTATAGAAAAAAACAAACCTATAATACTTCAAAATGTCTTCTTTTTTTTTCCTTTTTAATTTAGTTCTTGTTCCATTGAAGAAAACAATCCCAAAGTGAAAGACTTGCAAGAACTGAATCAATACCTGAACATTAACAGCCACTTACAACCCTTTGCTGCCTCTTCATCAGCTCCGAAGTCTGGTCTTGAGAAGAAAATCAATGAAGCCATTTCCTTGGGAGATATTGAAACAGCAGTTTCTCTCAGTGACAGACTGGCTACAAGAGAAGTAAGTTCTTTTTATCATAATATGTATATCAAATGAAGTTTTTTTTTTGGGGGGGGGGTTCACACTTCAAACAAATATTTCACATAATTAATTTCAAATTCATTCAGGAGCCAGTAATTTTATGTTGATTCCTATTTAAAATATATATTTTAAAAAATCGTTTTAATTGATTAAATAATAGAATACACATTTATATTTGCTTTTAATTCTAAAATTTAGTTTCATCATGGCTCAGTGATTCATTTGTATCTGTATTCTGTTTTTCATACAACATATCAACCAAAGTTATATCCAAGGAGTATTTTAAATCTTAAATGGTAGGAAAAGTTGCCATCATTTTTTGCCTCTTTCTCTTCAAGATACAGAGTTGTCTTTGGCTTGTTCTTCCAGCTTTATTTGCAAGCAAATATACACGGAAATGACATAACCTCATGAATTGTTGTAAATAGTAACCTCATGAATCCTAAAGTTGCCAATTGGTCATTTAAACTCAAATCATGAATGAATAATAACCTTATTGTTTGAAAAAGTTTAATGATAACCATTAATCTCTAATGAAATATCAATTGATGACACCTGCTGTTTAAAGGTTAACAGATTTTGTTTGCTCTATTCATGGCACTTCATTGGAATTTGATTTACCACAAAGAATCAAGGTTCAAATAATTAATAGTGTCAAAGCATCGTCATGTCATGTCATGAGTCCTGTAACTCATTATGGTTGTAGGGGCATTATATGTACTACAGCCATGGCAGCAGTGGTGCATCAAGGGCAGGATAGCCTGAACCAATCCCTCTTCAGGCTGGTTTTGAATTCAGTTCCCCCCACCACCACCAATACTCATTGCTACATCAAGGCAGAAGAGAAAGATTTATACATTTCCCAAGAGTATTTGTGCGAAATTGAATGCAATGAACTCTACCAGAATTCAAACTCTGCTTACCAATCTCTCTTTCTGAATTACTAACCATTATATTACTCTCACATGGTAGTTGAGACATATCTGGGTTTTATTCTTTTTGGAGTTCTTTGAAGAATGTTAACTTCTTCATTAATAAAAAAAATATTTCTTCTGGTCAGTTACAGCAATTTGTAATCTGAATAATGTGCTTTAAATTTATAACTTATGAATAGTATTTCTTTATTTAAGGTAATTTTCTCTATTTTACTCTTACTTTTGATAATTATATAATTATTTTCTTAATTTTCCTAATAACCAGCTTTTGAAGAGCAGTGATAAGAGTGGTCTCCCTTTTCATATGAATTTCTCCTTTTGTGTAGTGATTTGATATTTTGATTATTAATATCTATTAGTAACATTAAAATATCACAATTTATGCCTTCATACTTATTTTGTAAAGTTTGCATTTTATAGTATTATAATAATATTATTATTATAGCTAAAACAATAAATTTAGGAAAATGTATCTTTTAACATACTGCTAACAGCAATTTAATTTTTTGTGGTGGTTATCAATCTCAAATATATGGTAGAAATACTTTGCTGTAATTGTCAAACCAGTTTCTTTGCTTCCTCACGCCATATATAATGTATTCCTTACATAGATGCAACTAACTTTGTGATCTAACATTACTTTAGTGTTAAATGACAATTATAATGAATATATTTACAGTTTGTTGAACAATTTTCAAATAAAACAGTTATTTCTTATTGTTATGTATATTAACAGAAAAATTATTCCTTCTCTTTTTTCTCCTTTGTTTTCAGTTTGGTACAAAAATTGCTGCATCATTTGATGCCCGAGAATACTTGAAAAGGAAAAAAGTTGGTTGATCTTTTATTCAATAAGAACAAAATTTATTTACTAACTTATTGTTAACATGAAAGATTATTAAATATGATTTTTTACTCAAATACAGAAAAGGAAGGAATTGTTACATATACTAGGCTATAAGAGCCTTGTCAGTAGGCCTAGCATAGAAATAAATACCATATGGGAGTTATTAATGAACAAAAAAGCGATATGACAGCAAGGCTGGAGGAACATCAGTAAGAAAAAAGAAGCAGCAGTGATTGAAGTCAAGAGGATTGTCTCACAGGACAATAGCCTAATGGATAAAGCACTGGTTCATGAATTTTACATCATGGTTCAATCTCTGGACCAGGGCAAGCAATAACAAAATGAGATATCCCAAAACTTGGACACTGGAATGAAAATAATCTACCACTATTAAACAAAGGATTTAGTTAAAAATTTCCTGAAGATTGCCCACACTGCCAGACACCTGAAGAAGAAGTCCAAAATGTAATAATAAAGATAAGGATATTAGTTCAAATGTAAATAATGACAACCCCTCATTTCAGAAATTCAAACAAATTAGAGAAAATGAATCTATAATTAGCACATTTGTTAAATCATAATTAATGTTTTCTCATAGGGACCAGTTACTTTTTATTATGTAAACACCCATTCTAACTAATCTCCTAAATGTCATTAAATTAATTCAGACATATGTTGTTTATTTATCACTTTTGTAGCTCAAGATATATTCATACATCTTTATGAAAGTTACATTGCCTGCTGTTAACCTGTTTCAAGGCACTAAAATGTTGGTCCATAGCATTTATGTTATAAACTAATTAGTGCTTAATGTTATTTTCAAACCATCATAGACATATAGTAGCATACAATACAGACTGATTAGTGACATATATTGTGAGTTGGAGGTGTCATTTAGTTTAGTTCTGTACTGTAGAGTATCCAATCAAAACCAATATGGTGGCAATCAACAGAAACTGCTGTCTGAATCTTTATAGTTACTTATTTCCAGTAACTGTCTATTTCCTATGTTTCCTAGAATGGGCCAGCACAGCCATGCAACAATACTATAACAATACCTCTGTGATATTATTAACCTAAAAATATTAAGGATACCAAATACAGAAATTTTATTTTTTCTCAAGTTTTTAATACATCTGTCTTTATGATATTAAAGTAAAAAAGAATTTTTAAAATTTCAGTCTATTTTACATAGAAATTCTGATAAATTATACAACTAACATCAGATGTTATTGAAGTTTCCTAATTGTTGGATGTGTAGATCTTTACTTAGTCACATTAATTAGTTTTATCTCTGTTAATGTTTATCACATTCAATCAGTAATAAAACACTTAATGCTCAACTTTTTTTTTCTGTAATTTTCCAATTTTTTTTATTTTTTCAATTCAGGAAGAGGAAATGTCTGTTAAGGCTAAGAAGAAGAAAAAACTTCCTTGGGGGTAAGTCAATTCCTCTTTATTATCTTGCTCATATCCATATGTTTGGCTTTGTAGAATACAAATTTAATTCAAGGAGATAATTCAAATAACATACTTTGTTTTATTAAACATACTATCCACACTTTCAGTGAGTAAAATCAGTTGTTTCATCCATAAACAGGGTCTTAGCACAAAAATAATTTTTAAAAACCTGAAAAATCACCAGATCTTTCAAATGCAAGTCAGTTTTGATCATTTTCTACGTTGGTGATTTTCATAAATGTCGTGACACATAAAAAATGTTACAAATAACTTAAGAAAAAAAGTGTTAAAATAAAACCAGTTAATGTTATTTTTATAAAATAAAGTCCAAAGAATAAAATAATTTTGAAATTTATTGAAATTTAAAATATTCTGGTTGATTACTGTTTTTAAATTAATTTTGTCTATTTTTTTCATGCTTTCGATAGTTTCTTTTTTTCTTAATAATCAGCATTCATCAAATAATTTATAGGAATGATCTCCCTTCTCATTATGTACAGTGACATGACTTTTTGATTATTAATATCAATTATTAATATTGAAATATCACAATTTAACGTCCTCATACTTGGTTTATGAGTTTACCATATTAGTGTATTAGCTAAAACAAAAATAAATTGTATGATAATGTATTAAATTAAAAATCATCTGGTTAATTACTGTTTGCCAACAATAATATTCTCTTGAAGATGATTTCAGCTATTTTTTAACGCGTTTTAAAATGATAAATGGCTCTTAATTTTCTTAAAAGTTTATTGTTTTTAATAAGCAGGAATGATATTTGCTTTATTTACTTTCAGATTTGAACACAAGCAACGTTGGGAGATGAAAGGGAACATGTAGTAGAATGAAATGAATTTGGACTTTGGAAATCAAAAAATCTTTGGACATGAATACCAAGTTGGCATTGGAAATCTTGAAAAAACAAGAAATTGTAATTTCATGCTATTTTTAGATCACTGCATCTTGAATAATAACTTCCAAATTCTTGTCCAATTAATGTCCATCAGCTGATTTTAGTTAAAGAATTTAATGAGGATGAAAACATCAACATCAGTGTCTCTTTTGTTAAAAAACTGACTGTCAAAAAGTTACATTAACAAATTTTGTTTCTTTTGCAATGTACTGGATTCTCAGCTTCTCTTACAATGGTTGTTTGTCATTGCCTGAGCATAAAATGTTCAGTGGCAAAATTAACCATTATGGACATAGGAAGGATCTGTTAAAAAACAGAAACAAATGGCAACATTATTTCATCATTATTCTTTAACTGTAATTATACATTTTCAAATTCAAATTGAGAAAATTTGTCTATGAACCAAGACTTTCATTTTATTGTTGTAAATATGAGATCTTTTATAAAAATAAAATATTCGTCTGTAGTGGAATAATATCTTCATCCAAGCAAGCATATTATATTTAATATTAAAATAACACCAACATGCTACAAGGAAATTACATCAAGAAATCTTTAAAGGAATCCATCAAACCATGATTATAGCAACTTACAAAGTAGATCTTTCTAAAGAATCCATCTGCAAACAGCTGAACATTTTCTTATCATCACTTTATTTATAAATTTCATTATTAACCAGAAGTCAGTAACCACCTGGTGAATAAGGCAAAAAGAGAAGAATATGTCAGATCACTATTTGCATACCAGTCACAGGAAATCTCATTACTCAATAGTAACTATTAGTGAGGCTTACTAACCATCATGCCACAATGGTATGCTCTCTTTAACATATCTTAGTTTTCAGATCAGTGTTTTTATAAAATAAAAAAAAAGTTTATTTGACATTGATTATTCTCAATTTTAATTAATAAAGGTTTTATACAAAGAAGCATGAGTCTGTGATTATTTTTTCTATGTTCCATCAATCCATGATATGCTTGTCTTCCTCATTTAAAAGACCAATAATTAGAATTGATATTTAAAGACAACTCTCATCACTTGAATCTTGTTGACATCAGCCTTTATTCGCAAGCGAAAACCGTATATTGCTTCAAGTGAGATTTAGTCTAGAGACAGCATTTTTCCATTATACTTAAAATGGAATTACCTGCTGTCTGCAGCTAATACTTCAGGGCTAAATTGCTCACATTAAAAGGCCTTTTAACAAATTCCACATCACATTGCATCACAAAAGACTGAAATGCTGCCTTTTTCAAACATGATTTTCACATATCTCTTTTACTGTAACTCTTATCATTAGGAAATGAAGGTGACACAATCACTGATTTGTTTTTTTTGTTTTTTTTTTGCACTAGTTCTTCTTTTCATCATTAAAGTAGGCAATATTTAATAAAATAGAAGTTGGCAGTTGAATGACATTATATTATGAACAATTAACTGGGTGTCTAATTTTTATTTCATTTAATTATAGAGAATTAGTTTATATTTATAAAAAAATGTACTTTCCAAAAAGTATTTGAACGAAAGCAAGAGGCCTTTGTATAAAAATATATGAAGTATTATTTGCTGAAATCTCAACTACTTGGCTATTGACAATTCTGAGAAGAAAAGATCCTGATCTAGAATAGTTCACCATTCTATAGCAGGCACACTTTAAGCATGTCTCTGAATATTTAGTCTGGCACAGGGCTTCAATAGTGGAATCCCACAATAATAGTATATGAGACTAACCATTGCTCTAAAATAGATGCCTTTTCAACATCTTTCAGCATGAACCAATGACCGCTCCAAATGAACTCCCATGTCATGAAAGTTATGACTAGACTATTGAAGATGTATCAATTGCATTCTTTCTGGATTGATTGAAATTAGCCCTTTGTTAGTATTGCAGGGAATTTTCACAGCATTAGCATGTGGATTTTTCAAACACCAAATTTAAAATATTAGAAATTTACATGTTAATTTTTTTATATATATTGTCATTTTATTTGAAAAAAAAAGAATCAAATTAAAAAAGAATTTGTAAGTTTCAAAAATTCAACAATCCCAAAATAGATTTAATTTTATTTTCAGTAAACAAATAAAACTGCTTGTAATTCACACAAAACCAGAAACTCTGAGTTACTTGACAGATATTCAGACAGCTACTTGATTAATTATGAAAATTTGACTTGCTAATTGTTAAATATTAAGGAAAAAGATTTCATAAAGATTCAAAAACCCCATGGTATAAATGGAGGGTTAAAAATTGACACTCCTTAAAACCAGTTTTACATGTTCCCAAATTGACTTAATAAGAAAAAACATATGCGACATTGCATTCATGTTGTGATTACTTTGATAAATAAAAGTATTGTATCTTGGCAGCTTATCCTATGGGTTTTTGTAGCTGGGAAACAAATTCTCTATTAGATTGTTAAGGATTGGGTTAGAAGTACACCCTAATATCTGTGACAATGTCCAAAAGAACCAGGATATTTCTGGATAGCCTACAAAAAATGACAACCTTGTGTTATTTATTGTATTACTCACATTAAAAGAAACCAGATATTTATGAAGTAGAAAATAGATATGGATTAAGAGTTAATGGGTTGAAGAAAGAAGAGATAAACAAGACTTTTATTAAACTTGTCAAAAATATTTCAAACTTTGTAAAATTTATCAAATACTAAAATTTCTAAGCATACATTGTTGCTAAATGTTGATGACTTGCTTTGAAAGGCTGTTTTCCAATTCTTTGTAGGATATGTCTTTCAGAAGATATTTATAGAAATAAAAAAAGGAACTTTACATTTTTATTCAATAACCTGCAACTTGCCAGGTTGTATTATGTCTTAAAAAAACACTAAACAAACTTTAAATTTCTAATTTAGATAAAATTTTTAAAATTTATTACATATCTAGTAATAGAAATTTGGATTTGGTTCAAATCATTTTTTCATAAAATATCAGAAATTAATTTCTAAAACATGAATCCACTTCTTCAAATGCTATGTGGTTTGATTTTGATAAAATAATTATAAAATAAAAGTATTTATAGCTGTAACATTTTTCTCTCAATGAAATTGTCTCCTTATATGACAAAATAAGATATTTAATAATGTTGAAACAGTAATTTATAAAGTTTAATATTTTCTATTGAAAGAGTTTATTTTTAAATAAAATATTGAATATGAACATTCATTATTTGTATTTCATATTTTGTATTTATTAATAATGTTTGTGTTATATTTCATGCTAATAGGAATATATACTTGACAAACATAGTAGATAGAATAAGTAAAGGTTTAATGTAAAAACCAATACAATAAAAATAAAGGTAACAGTTATGCACAAGGTTGTCGCAAGTCAATCCAGTAGTGAGGAAGGCTTTTCATTGACTCAATGTGCAGCTGTTAAATTTTACAGTGCTGAGTTCTTAATTTTCTCTGATCACCATTTTGGTTCTAAGTGTTAAATTACAGGAAGTTATTGATAAGTAAATTTAACTTTTATCATTAAAATTGGACAAGTTTTACCAGTCAGAATTTCTGATAAGTGAATCCATCTTTTTTTTTTTTTATTCAAATTTTACAATTATTCTTTGTTTTTGGGTTTCCATAAAAAAAAAAAACAAAAAAAAACTCACTCAAGTCCCATAAACTTTTCTATGGAGTATGGCGCCACAACCTCAACACACTAGGTGTGGCTCCAGCCGTTTCTATAGAATCTAAAGTTTTATGGGCTGGACTTGCTAACCATGCCCAACCAGTATAAATTCAGGGTTGTCATTCTTCTAGACTGGTTGATAATCAAGACTGAAAAGCCCAGACTGCTCTACTATTTAATCCATAGCTGAGAGGAGAAGAGACGGATTCATCCTTTCCCCAAGGGTATTTGCGTGAAAGTGAATGTAATAAACTCAACTGGAATTTAAACTCAGCTTGCCTATTCTGAGCAACTAACCATTAACCTGCACATCCATTTAAAAATAAAACAGTAAAAATTTCTAAATATAACAAAAATACAACCATCAAGGAAATATAATCTTTATTTCTTTACATATACAAAAAATAAACAAAAACAGTATGATAAAAAATCAAGTTTTTCATCAGTTAATTATGTTTCATTCCATTGGAATTGTCAAATTTGTCTTATTTTTTTTTAGGCAAAAAATATAAAATTTTTATATTTCTTTGCCTAAGTAGAAAATATTGAAGTTGTCGATTGCAATTCAGATTATTTTGTTGGTGATTGATCCAATCTCATCAATTTCACATGTGACAACATCACCTTTCTGCAAGAACAATATAATTTCAAAGAATAATAAATGATAGCCACAAATCTTTTACATTATCCCAAAAGTCATTTATTGTATTTACTATGAGACAAAACAAAAAGTGTTGAACTTTGGGCTTGAATGGATTTTACAGCTAGAATCATAATTTTCCTATTATATTTTTTGTAATTAATTGGACATTACAGATTTATAGAAACCTTTTTAGAGAATTTCATTCAATACAAGCTAAAAAAGAAAGAAAAAAAACAAAACAAAAAAAACAGTTTTCCAATTTTGGTTTCAGAGATGATTGACAATATTTATTTAATCCAGGAGGAAGGCTTCTTCAATTAATGAAATATGAAGAACTTGAGATTTGGAAATTAAAAAAAAATCAGTTTGGCCTACAATGTGTCTCAATGAACTTCCTTCGTTTTTTTGTTTATTTTTCCTTTGAGATAACAGCTCAAGTTTACTTTGAAATTACCTCATTTTTAATAGTAATTCTGCTTATTGTTAAACATTTTAAAATTTGTCAACAGCCTACTTTGATGAGTATGGATCAAAAAACTGGCTGCTTAAGAGCAATTATATGAGCTCTTCCTTTTGACAGTTTATTTCAACATGTTTCCATTCCTTAAACTGTATATATATATATATATATATATATATATATATATATATATATATATATAGACCTTCCTGATGGCATCTGCTCTCAACTTGGTATCTATGCTGATGACCCAATCATTTACATTTACTGCTGAGACATTTGTCTTGATAGTAAGTCTGATAAGTTTGATAAGGTCAAATTGGCAGCTGATGTCAAAAACAACACCTCCTCCCAGTCTGTTCTTAACTGGGGCAAAGAATGGCTTGTTAATTTTAATGCCTCCAAAACAAAACTGCTCTCTATTAATTATCTGACAGGCCCCTTTCTAACCTCCATCAGCATGGCTGATTCTAACTTCTAGGTGACTGACTTGTTGCACCTTCTCAGGCTAATATTCTTGGTTGACATGAAGTGGTAAGACCATAATGAATCTATTGCTAGGTCAGCTGCTAAGAAATTTGGTTCACTGTGTTGTGCTAGATAATTTTTATCTCCAGAAATTAAGTCCATGCTTAGAATATTGCACCTACATACAGTCTGGTGTACCTGCTATATATTTAGAGTTTCTTGATAAAATCCAAAGAATCAGCAATATTATTAGTCCTGACCTGGCATTTCACTTTCTCACCACCATAAAGTTGCTCCCCTTTGCTTTTTCTATAAATACTTTCATGGGAATTGTTTCGATGAGCTCTTCATTATGGGACTTAGACTTTATGAATTTAAGCACAGTACTAGATTAGCATCAAGTTTTTATCAATTTACAGTTGAACTGGTTTAGTTGTAACTATAAGTTTGATGTTAATGGTTTCTTTTCTTGCACTTCTCACCTGTGGTACTCTATTCCAGCTTCATGCTTTTCAATTAACACTGACCTTCAAAAATTTAAATGCAATGTCAATCACTATCTAATGTCTTCCTGATTACTCTTCTATTGTTATCAATCCTTAATAATGTTTCTCTTTTCTAATTTTTTCACACTCTTAGTGACTTTACTGCCTTGCCTGCAGTAGATCTGATTAAATATCTATATCTATATATATCTATATATCTATCTATCTATATATATATATATATATATATATATATATATATATATATATATATATTAGAGAGAGAGAGATCTTTTATATATCTTTTAATTCACCAAATTTTCCTTTTCTGTAATATTCAGTGAAACATGTTTGAACAAAAGCTTATGAATACACCTAACTTTGCATTAAATTCCTTGCTTAGTTAAAATTCAAGAAAATCATATGGTTATTTCCAGTTTTATTTGAATTTATAAACAAAAACTTAGATTTTGTAGGACAAAAACAAAGATGATTCAGCATTTCACTTATATTTTACATGATATTTACAATATGGAAATCACTATTTTATATGTGGCAGATGCCCATAAAGTGAAACAAGTGTTTTCAGTCATTTATTTTCACTTATGATACAATTAAATGGTCGTTTGTTTCTTTTTTTTAATATAACATGTTTAAACTTCAGTAAATAAGGAGGAACTCACACTTATCCAGTAATGAGTGCAATGTTAGTGATTTTGCTCATGTTGCCAGGACTTGAATTAAACCTATAATTACTCAACATTATATATGTTATCAGGTGACTCTTGTTATTTTTTTTATGCATATATGCTTTATCAGTGATACTCATTTCTGCAAGTTTTTTGTTGAGCCATGAGTTTTCTTGAGATTGATAGTGAAGTGGTTTCTGTCAGGTCAAAAAACATGTTCATCAACAAGATGCATAAAATCTAAAGGGTCACTGGTATTAGAGAAAGAAAAAATACATCAGAGAACCTCTTCTATGATGAAAGAGAACAACCAGCAATACACAGAAATATTGAAGGAGCAGAAATATTAAAATCTGAAGTGAAATCAGTACTGACAAAATTGAACAGATACAAAGCAACAAGACCAAATAGAATTGTAGTAGAGATACTGATAGCCTTAAATGATTTCAGCATAGACAAGATTACAAAATTAATAAATGAAATCTATAACAGTGGTGATATACTGGAAGACCTAAATAGATCTATTTTCATAGCACTGCCTAAGAAGCCAAGGGAAAATGAATGTGAACTCCATCAGACAATCAGCCTAATGAGCCATATAACAAAACCAAATTCTGATAACTAGAGCATGCAGCAGAATCAGACTGGAAAAAGGACAAGAAGAGTCTGGGTTTGTCAAAGACACTGAAATAAGGCATGTGATATTTATGCTCAGAATGTTAACAGAAAGAGCAATACAACTGAAGAAGGATGTATACCAGTGTTTAATAGATTATGCAAAGGTGTTTAATAAAATATTCCACAAACATCTATTGGAACTGCTTAGTAACCTTGACATATTTGGGAAGGATATTAGAACCAACACTGGCAGAAAACTGCCTGCATAGTGTATCTTCTCACTGGACTTATTCAACCTTTACAGTGAAGAGATTCAGAGAGAATTAGAAGTTCCACCAGGATTCATTATTAGTGGATACAATCCTTAACAACCTAAGATATGCAAATGACACAGTATTGAGAGAAAACAAATAAAAAACTACAAGAACTCATACAGAAGATAGTGAAGAAAAAGTGAGAAGAAAAGATTAAACATCAAATGCAAGAAGACAAAATGCATTGTTGTAAAAGGAACATCCCAACAAACAAATTATAAATTGGAGATACCAAAATCAAACATGTACACCAATTTAAATATTTGGGAAGTGTTATAACAGAGGACAGGAAGTACAACACTAAAATCTGAAGGTTTAGTGTGGTAGTGAATAATACCTTCCAAAAGCTAAGCAAAGTATCAAATCATTGCAAAATTTTGTGCCCGATTTTCATTGTTAATATAAAATGACTGCAACTTGACACTAGCATTTGTTTTTGTGCCAATTCCTAGTGTATTCTAGATTGAAACCTTGTCATTCAATTGCAAGTCAGACTTTGTTGAATGTTGATATTTTGTCCACAAATGAATGCCTTATGGATGAAGTTGGAGGATGAAAAGTTGCACTTTTGCCATATTAAGCTCTATGAATTTTGGAAAAAAGTAAATGTAGGAAATGTGACAAAAAATATTTAGAACATTTTTTGTGCTCCAGCTTTTTGGACAATTAAAAATGGTTTGGTGGATTTCATTAGAACGATGTTAATATAAATGATCACTCATGCTCCAGGCAACATTCTAATGTTGATGAAGATGATCTGCTTGTCATCATGAAGAGTAAACTAAAGATTTTAAGAGAGATTGCTAAGAGTTTGAAAATCCATATCTCAATTGCCATTTGAAGATAATTAGGTTTGTTTCCAAACTTGACATTCTCTGACAGAACAAGCTCATTTTCATTTCTGCAGTGATTTCTTTGTTGTTATGCCACAAAAAGTAGCTATTTTTGGTCAGAACTGTCACAGATGATGAAAAATGAATCATTTATAATAATGTTCAATACAAACAGAACTGGAAACAAGCTTGTGAATTTACAGAACCCATGTCTAAAGCAGGCTTGCATCCAATGAAAATGTTTCTATCCATTTAATGGGATTGCAGATGTACTTCTTCCAGTCAACAAAACAATATTGCAAAGAAATATTGCAGCCACCTTACCATTCTCAATTCAAGAAAAATGGCCAAATCTGGCAAATCAAAAAAAAAAATCATTTACAAACATTTCAATGCAAGACTACATGTTGCAAAACAGACCTTGTAGAAGCTTAAATATTTGAAATAGGAAATCCTCCAGCACCCACCATATTCTCCTAAGTTGGCTACTCCTGATTTTCATTTGTTCCAGTCTATACAGAATAATTTAAATGACAAAAAAAATCGACACTGTATAGTCAGTGGAAAAATAGCAGACAACCTTCTTCTAACAAAAAACAGAGTTTCTTCAAAAATGGCATCAACAAGCTTGTAGAATGATGTGAGACAGTTGTCAAAAACAATGGAGACTATGTATTTGAGTAATAACTGTTTTTTTCTGAGTATGTAAAATTTTGTTTTTAATTTTCTAATTGGGCAGAAACTTTTGCAATGATTTAAGATTAAGGAAGAGAAAAAATTCATTAGAAACAAAGAAAATAGTACTGAACTGTTATGTGATGTCTGTCCACTTATGTGACAGTAAATACTGGATTATCTCCTCGCAGATGAAGAAGAAACTTGAAGCAAAAGAAATGCAGTTCTACAGAAAGATGCTGAGAATATCATGGATAAACATGTTAGCAACAACAAATTTTTAGATTTTTATGCGATGGGCTTCCTAGCCCCATGCCCAAACAGTTTTGAATTCAGGATTGTCATTCTCCTAGACTGGTTGATAATCAAGACTGAAAAGCCCAGGCTACCCTACTATTTAACCCATAACTGAGGAGAGAAGAGATGGATTAATCCCTTTCCCAAGGGTATTTGTGTGAAAGTGAATGTAATAAACTCAACTGGAATTGGAACTCAGCTTGCCTATTCTGAGCAACTAACCATTACACCGCCTGCACATCCATTTAAAAATAAAACAAAGTAAAACACAATTCTAAAATATAACAAAAATACAACCATCAAGGAAATATAAACTTTATTTCTTTACATATACAAAAAAATAAACAAAAACTGTATGATAAAAAATCAAGTTTTTCATCAGTTAATTATGTTTCAATCCATTAAAATTGTCAAATTTGTCTTATTTTTTTTTAGGCAAAAAAATTTTTTTTATATTTTTTGCCTAAGTAGAAAATATTGAAGTCATTGATTGCAATTCAGATTATTTTGTTGGTGATTGATCCAATCTCATCAATTTCACATGTGACAACATCACCTTTCTGCAAGAACAATATAATTTCAAAGAATAATAAATGATAAGCACAAATCTCTTACATTATCCCAAAACTCATATTTCATATTTACTGTGAGACAAAACAAAAAGTGTTGAACTTGGGGCTTGAATGGATTTTACAGCTAGAATCATAATTTTTTATTATATTTTTTGTAATTAATTGGATATTACAGATTTATAGAAACCATTTTAGAGGAAATTTTAATTTAATACAAACTCAGTTTTTCTTACTTTCTGATTAATGGAAATTTTATTAAATGATATATTTTTCTTGTAGTCAAGAAATACTTAATAGCTATTTAGTACTGAAGTGAAAATTTGTGTTTTCTCATTACATTTAATACATTTTTATTAATTCATTGTTTTAAATAATTTTTACAGCATTTTATTGTAAACCTACACCCACTCAATAAAGGAGCCTGTACGTGCAGATGAGCTTCAGATAGAAAATCATATCTTTTTGCCAATTTACTGTTCAATCAAAATTCCCAGATGCAAGTCAATGATGTTTGGTCAAGTGTGTGATTGCTATGCAAATATGGGATAGAGGGTGCTGAAAAATTACCAACTCAACCTACTTGACAAAATGTGGGCAAACATCAAATGTTTATGAAATTTTGAAAGGCTTCTTCATCTAACAGAACTTTCCAAAACTATCTCATGTAATCATGTGTGAAAACTTATCCTAACAATGTCCAATTCTGGTTTGTTTAATGAACACCTACTCCATTTTATCCTTTTACAATGAATAAGATAACAAATTTTAAAAAAATACAGATTTGTATGTATGTATGTGTGTGTATATATATATATATATATATATATATATATATATATATATATATATATATATATATATAATTTCTTAACAGTACAAAATCTATGTAAAGCATGAAGAAGCAGGGACATGTCAAATTAATTGTCAAAAGAAATAGGTGGTATAATTTTTATGGAGCAGTCAGGTTTTAATCAACTTTAATCAAAAAGGATCATTGATAAATTGCAAAATGCTTTAACATTTTATAATTTATCAGTGATTCACAAATTGAATTCATTTTAAAAACAAGGTAAAATGGTTTAAAAGTAGACATTATCTAATTTTTCTCATAAAAAAACATTATCTTATTTGGATTTGTAAACAAACTTTTGTAGTACTAAACAGACATTTCACTTATGTTGTATTTTACACAAAATTTGCAATATGGAAATCACTATTTTATATGTGGCAGATGCCCATTAAGTAAAACAAGTGTTTTCAGTCATTTAGTTTCACGTATAATACAATTAAATGGTCTTTTTGGGTTTTTTTTTAATATGAAATATGTTAAACTTCAGCAAACTCACACTTATCCAGTAATGAGTGCAATGTTAATGATTTTGCTCATGTTAATATGTTTTCCTGGACTTGAATGAAGTCTACAATTACTCAACATTATATATGATATCAAGTAACTCTTGTTAATAAAGATATGTCAATGAAAAAAAAGACAAAATTAGTCCAGTAGAAATTAAACTTTCTGCTTCTGAGTGATGTACAAATACCTGATAATAAGAATTCATGTCAAATCTTAACATGAAGTTTTACTTATAAAAAAAAAAGTGTGATACATTAGCAAATAAAAACTGACAACACAAAATCAAGAATTAGAAATTAGTCTAAAAATAAAAACACAAGACCAACAAAAATATTCTTAGCACCACCGAAAAATAGAATATTAAGAATAAAAGTACTGCTATAATTAACAATAACTTATGCAATTTTTATCATATCTGTATTAAATAAAAGGCTATTCATAAATCATATTCTTAAACCATTACTTATCAAATAACTTATCAAGCCTACTTTTTTTATTGTTTAGACTTTCCTGATCAGGAATATTTCTGAATATATATTTACCTTCAAAAATTCTGGTGGTTTCCTAAAAACACCAACCCCAGGAGGAGTTCCAGTGATAATCACATCTCCAGGTTTCAAAGTGAAGAATCTAAAAGTTAAATGAAAAATAGAAAGTTAAAAAAACAAAAAAAAAAACTGATTGAATTCAGAAAAAGAAAAGGAAGAAATAATTCCAATAATCTAATATAATCAACTAAATAATAAGCACATTAGGGATTGGTTCACCTTTTCAAAGAAAGATTACTATTAACTTATTTTTATTTTAATCATTTCACCCCAAGCAAGACAATAAAGCCATTAAAATGCAAGTGGTTACTGAATCTAGAATCATTTTATTCTTTCCTATCTTCAACATTGTATTGCCTATCAAGCTTTATTTAGTTACTTGCTTAGGACACTCAGAATTTTTTTAATGTCCTTAGAATATTTCACCATGTCCAAACATTTGTAATATTTATAGATCTTTAAATAACATCACAGTTATGTTACTAATCATATTTAGACTTGTAAAATTTCCTAGATTCTCAGATTTTATTTAGTTTTACAATGAGAAAGTATTGTTTACTTGCTTTTAATTCCACCTCCAATGTCTTCTTTCTTTTACCTTTTACAAGAAGCAAAAAAGGAGGAGGAAGGGGATGGAGCATGAGGAGGAGGAGGAGGAGGAGGAGATGATGATGATGATGATGATGATGATGATGATGATGATGATGATGGAAAAAAGAAGAGGTATTTTATCTACTTGGGAGTATGCTTCATAACTAAGGTCCTATCTCAACAATTATTCAGCAATTGAAATTATCAATGAAAGCTGTAGCTCTCACTCTGATGAAAATGTATTCTTTGATTTCTGTTAACAGTTTGTTAGCTATTATGTATATTTCACACTTGGAATTATTTCACTTCTACATAGTGAATTCAAGTGACATCACAAAGGAATAATTATAACGTTTTATAAGCAATACTTTAAAATTCATTTTACAATATGATTAAATGCAATAACTTAAAACTCAATGAACATCAGAATGAAAAACTGTTTCTTTATGAAACTTCTTTGAGAACTTGCTTTTTATATGGAAAGTATATAATACTTGGTGTTCATAAGTTGTAAATAACTATAGAATTGACAAGGATAATAAAAATCTTCAGTTAGAAGAAAGAGAAAAGAGATAAACATAACACACTGTAGAAATGTTAACAACAGAGAAAGAAATCTTATGTTAGTAAAATAATTTTTCTGACTGAATTTCTGAGATGAGGAGTTATTATTTATATTTAGATGAATGTCTTTGTCTTTGTTGCTATTATCACAATGCTCTGGCCTTCTTCAGGTGTCTGTCAATGCAGATAACCTTCTGGGAATCTTGAACTGAAGCCTTTATTTAATATATTGTTCTCTGTAGTGAAAGAGATAATCAGCTACCTTGAAAAAAAGTTCATGTTTTGTGTGCAATCTGCCAAAGAAAAATTACCAAAAAATAGTTAGCAAAAATCTACTTTAAGGACCAGAATCTATGCTAATGTTCTTTCACTTATGTGGACAGATTTGATTTTCTGAGTGTAGTGGATGAACATGCATTTTTGCTGGTGAGAAGTGAAGGTTTGATTTGTGACCCCATTTTGTCATTTCTATGTTGCCTGTTGGACGGACTATTGTTTGAACTGTGATTTGGCTACAAGTGTTGCAGTCAAGAGACAGAAGAAATCTATTGCAGACATTTATTGCTACTATAAGTTTACAGACTTTTTTTTTCTTTTCTTTACTACTGCATTCTCATTCCACTGTCCATGTCTAGCAATATCTTATCTTGTTCTTTTTAATACTTTTTACTTATTGCCTGCCCTGTTTTCAATATGTTTATGTATGTACTACCTGGCATTGAACTCAGAATTACCATACCACCAAATTCATGAACCAACACTTTAATCTACTAGAACAAGGAAAATCTATCTATAGATTAACTAAAGGGTTTAGTTTGAAATTTCATCTGAAGAAGGTCACTATCAAAATGTGATAACAACAAAGACATAAACATTAATAAAATAGTTGACAACTGGATAATACCTTGAATTTTGTTATTAGATGAAGCATTATCAGTTATAGCCAAGGTACCCGATATTGTATATGGCTACAACTGTATAACCACACCCACTGTCTAGAAATGTGTGCCAGTGTCCCTGCTTGCATGCATCATCCATTGGTATACTAAGCGACTCACCCCAAATCATCTTTTTTACAGTATGTCCTTCACAAGTATTTGAATTTTCTTAATAAAGGAATTCTATTGATAAAACCTTCTTGTGTGGTCATTGCTCAGAGTTAAATTGTTTCAATGTTTTAAATATTCAGTAAATTTCCTATGGCCTTAATAACTTCCAAATAGTGTGGCATTGTTCACAAATCTAATAATCAAACAAAAACGGGGATGAATCTTCAGAGTTTGATTCAATTGCAAGTTCAAATACATGAACACCCCCCTCCTTCTTTGCACGTTTACTATAAAGCTGGAATTAATAAGAGGTTCTTCAGGAATTTTTCCCTTTTTATGATTCAATAATCTTTCTCAAACAATCTTTGCACTAAAGATTGTTCGAGTGCCAATTTAGGATAGAATCATATGAAGAAACTATTGGCTAAATGGCAAAAGCCGATTTTGGACCTAGTTAACTGAAATAATCTAAACCAAACATTTATGCAAGGCAATTTGTGTGTCTTATGTAATTTACATGGTAAATTTGGAAAGCATTGAATGAAAAACCAGGCAGTTATGGCCCCAAAAAAACAGTTTTTCATATTTTTTTCATTATACACAGGAAAGTGAGCAGGGCTAAAACCACACTGTTTTATTTCTTGCATGTTGGCAAATTTTTTGTGACATGTTTGAAGAAAATCGGATAAAAAATGAGGAAGTTATTCAAGTTTTATTTTAAGTAATAAGAAAAACATGGTTTTTTCAGTTTTTTGCAATCTTTTGTGTGAAGCTAATGTCACAGGAAAACTAGTAAGCACTTTACATAAACCTCATAACATGAGCTGATGTTTTGTATTAAGTGCAAAGAACATCAGCTCATCCAGTAAAAATTTTGTTTGCATGTAATTTTGCCTTGGTTTTTGCAAAAAGTCATACTGACCTTCAGTTTTATTAATTTTTCTGCCAAACCCAGCGTGCCTGGAGATTGAAATGTTGGTCTTGACCTAACTTGTAAATTTGCAACATGTGTGTACAATTTCATGGAAATCGGTCTAGAAATGTGGACATGTATAAAGAGCATACATACACTCACAGAAACACAGACATCATCTTTTTTATAGATTCATGAATTATTCACACAAAAACAAATGCAAAGGTTAATGATTTAATTGGCGAGAAATCCATCGTCGCAAACAATTCAAATAATATACAAAAACCTCCGAATCCTGCTTCGTAATCAGTCCATCACGAACGCCCCCCTAACTAACGCCTGATATAATGCCTTACGAGACAACGCCTGGACGTTGGAGAGGCCATCCGACGCCCCTAAGAGGTGTTTAAGAGCACGACGACATTCACGGTAGAAAGAGCACTCGACTCGGGGTAAACGATGGGCCTCCTCCTCGCACGAGTGCACACTTCTCAGAGATGGGAAGTTCTTACGGATGTCTTCCTTCCAGAAGGCGCCCACTTCATCCGATTCGCGACACATTCGATCCAGGAACCCGATGCGAAGCATATATTGACGAATCTCAATGCTAGGCATACCTAGACCGCCTTCAGATGGATGAAGGCAACAGATCTCCCGAGAGACTCTGGTGGCCTTGCCTCCTCACTAGAAGGAGAGCAAGAGCCACACTAACGCCAGTAAAGTGTCAGACGGAAGTGGAAGTACAGAGAGTCGGTAAAGGAGAATCGGGTAGATGTGTGAAACACATACTTCCGCCCTCCCCTTAAAGGAAAGATTCCTCCGAGACCACAAATTAATTGCGATCTCGACCTTCCCTTGTACCTCCGACCAATTCATTTCCAACTGGAGATCAGGACCGAACCAGACGCCGAGAATCTTGACCGACCCATCCGTCCAGAGGAATGGTCCGGGAAGAGAAAATCCCCTCCACGCACCCAACCACAAGCCAACAGACTTATCGCGGTTGATCTTGGTCCCTGTCACAATCTCATAACCACTGATTTCTTTGCTGACTTCGTCAATCTCGGCTCTGCTCGACACAAGAACCGAAAAGTTGTCATCATAGACGGAATACCTGGGCAAAAGGGTGGCACCAGGTAGGGAAATTCCGCGTAGGACCGGATTCGTCTTTAACTTGCGAAGGAAAGGTTCCAAAGCAAGAACGTAAAGCAAAGGCGAAAGCGGACAACCTTAACGAATGGAGCGAGACAATACGAAAGGCTGCGATCGTACTCCGTTCACCTCCACCAACGCACCCGGGGCCGCATATAGAAATCGGATCCAGGTGCGAAAGTAAGGCCCGAAACCGGCCGCCGAAAGGACAGTCTCGAGAAAGCGATGGTCAACCCTATCGAAGGCCTTGGACTGATCTAAATTGATCGGCGCGGCTTTACTGTCGACTTGGTCGATGATCAAGTGCACCATATGAAGGTTGTACTGAATAGTCCTGCCCTTTATAGCACAAGTCTGTTCGGAGCCAATCAGACTAGAGAGGACAACCTGCAAACGGTTCGCTAAGACCTTAGCCAAAACCTTTAACTCTGTGTTTAGCATAGTTAAAGGGCGAAAGTTATCTAACCCATCCCCACCGTTTTTGTCCTTACGTAACAACTTGATTACGCCCCTGGTGATCCGTTGGGGTATAGACCGCTGCTTCATCCAGTTGCCGAAAATCAGTGCCAGCAAGGGAACAAAAACGGGCGACTGCCTTAAGTACACTTCGTACGGAAGACCATCTAATTCCGGAGATTTGTCCAGGCCAACCTGTTTCAGCGTTTCCCAGATTTCCGACTCCGTAATGGGACCCTCGCACCTAGCCGCTTCAGCTGCCTCAAGGCAGGGAAAGTCAGCTAAATAGGCGTCGAACTGAACAGGGCTCAGACCGGACTCCCTGATGAAAAGTTCCTGAAAGTACTCACGAAAAGC